AATGACAAAACAGCAGTTCAGTTAACATGCTAACATATTTGAAGTATTATAGTATTATATTCACCACAGTATTTTGTGGTTAGTTTGGAGGTTGAGGTGTTATGGAAAAATTATGGACATCATTTTTGTTCTAATCTTTTAGCGTCAGCTAAAACACTAATTTCCAATTTGTTTTTTGTCATCTTCTTGTTTTGCTATGTTACTATGTAAGTGAAGAAACAGCAGTCATGCTAAAAAAACAAAACAAAACAAAACAAAAAACAAAACGAATGTTCAGCAGCTTCGATGCTAGCTGTACTGTACTACCGCTTCAGTTCAAAATGTAAGCATACTAATATTTGCTAATAAGGATGAAATATTTATGCGGATATAGTCCAACGAATAAATGTAGCATTTGTCTTCATCACGTCACACCTACAGTATATTTACGAGCACACGATTCTGCATCAGCTTCTTCGCAAAGCCCCCCGGACGTTGTCTCCCCGATGCTAATCGACTACTGGAAAGCGTTCTTTAGTTTCTACTTAAGTCTTTTAACATTAGAGTTTTTTGTTTGTTTTTTTTGTTTGTTTTTTTCGCTAATAAAAAAATAATCACATAACACTTTTACACAGTGAAGGACCATGATGCAGTTACGTGTGACATCATGGCCAAATGTAAACATAAACTGAGGCAGGGCCACCTTGGCAGTGGTGGGGTGGGCGGGGCCACCTTGTTATCTACTGTGTTTAAAACAGAAGAGTCCAAACATGTCAACCATCGTCAGGTACAATAGTGAGGTTAATAGATGTCGTCAGGCATTTTCAGGCACGTGTTCCTCCTCTTCTTCCTTCTCCTCGCTGAGCTGTGCCCCTGCAACAGTTTAACAAAGCAAGCAGGTTATCACCGGGGATTGTTTTAAAATAGCATTAAATACTCCAGGATGTAATTTCTTAAATCAGTGGTTCCCAAACTTGATATGCCACGCCCCCTTTTGGTTTATAATAAAATCTTCGCACCTGCCCCACCCAAAAAAAATTTTTTTTAACTGTAACTGTTAAGAAGAAAAACAATGTACGCATATTTTTAATAGTATATTTAATTTATAATTAAATATACTATTAATTAAATTAAATCTCCCCCATGTCTAAACATAAAACACACAGATATAAACAAATATATTGATAATATATAATAATAATAATAATGAAAAAAATATTTTATATTATTATTATAAAAATGTGTAAAATAACTCAGTGAGGGACAGTAAGCCGAGACTGAATAATTAAAAAAAAAAAATTTAAAAAATAAGTCGCTCTAGAGTATAAGTCGCACTAGCCAGCTAGATTGCCCTCTGGTGGCTGTCAGTGTGAAAATAACAAACATGAACCCACAAGCCTGCTAGATTGCCCTCTAGTGGCTGGCAGTGTGGTTTTGACTTTTTTTTTTTTTTTTTTTACAAATATCAAATCTCTGCAAAAAGAGGGGGGAAAAAAATACAAAAATACGAAGGTTTGTTTTGCAAAACTGACACATTTACCATCACATCTTTTGAACAATATGCTATTAACAATATGCTACTGTTAACATTATGCTAATTCCATCTGAGACCACCTGCAATGGCACTGCGCCCCCACTTTTGGGAACCTCTGTCTTAAGAAATGAATTTAAAAAAAAAAAAACGTTTTCCAAAAAACTGATGGTTAACAATTATTGTTTTTGTTTTGTTTCATAAACATCTGGGCTTCATGTTTGTACCATTACAGGTCATGTGACCAGCCGGCTGATGGTCAGAGGACTCTCCGCTGTGCATCTGATTAGGAAGGGAGGAATCTGATTGGTCAGAGGCAGGTACATCGAGGTCGTCTTGTGCGGGAGAACCCACTGACTGAGCAGACTCAAGCCTCTCTTGCTCCTCCTGCTGCTTATTTGCCAGTTCTGTCAGTGTTTAAAAGACACACAGGAAATTGAAAGTTACGCTTGTGAATACAGCGTGCGTATTTCATCAGGACGCGTACCGTGCACAGACAGCTCCTTCCAGCGGTCCTTGTTACTACTGATGACGCCCGACAGGTGGCACCGCAGAGCTGGCAGGTCGATGGCAGTCAGAGAGAAGTCTGTCTGTCCTTCATCGCTGTTTCCGTGGCGACTGCTGCTGTGTCTCTGCACTGACTCCACAGTTACAGTTCCACTTCCTGTTAAACTAAAAGCACGGTGTCCAGGAAAAGGAAGGGAAAAAAAAAACAATGGTGTTTTTAGCTTACAGAGACATATAAGTTGCTGTTCTACTGCTGCCTCCTGTGGTCGGTGTATGTCATTGCTGTTCAACTGAACAGAGAACTTAAACAGAAACGTTTGCTGTTTACTGCCTATGGATACAGATACAGACAAAGTCCTGGTGTGCGACTGATGTCATTGCACGTCTCCACCACTGAGAGCGCTGTGGGTGGGCCTAGGCCTGCTGCAGTGCTCAGATGAACAGGAAAATGGAGACATGTATTAATGTCTTACATGTACATGGGTTTTACAGACAACAGAGTCGATAGAACCTCAGTTTCGTAATTTCCGGACTATTGAGCGCACCTGAATATAAGCCGCACCCACTAAATTTAAAAAGAAAAAAATAATTGTACATATATAAGTCGCACTTCTCCATAAGTCGCAGGTGTTCACGTTGTAACATGGGATATTTACACGGAAAGATTTTTTTTTTTCACTTTTAATTTAATAAATGCCTTTTTCCGAACAGTGACTGGTTACACGTTAGCGCTTTCCTGCTTCGGGGCCTCGACTGTAGTTGAAATGCACAGGGGAGACTTAGCCCGAAGCTAACATTAGGAACTGCTCTCAACTTTCACTATATATTATATTATATATAATATACTTTGACAGCCATTCACAGACAGACAGACATAAGCTACTAGTTGTAGTACACACAGTAGCCTATCAGAATCGCTAGCGGTATAAACTTCGTTATCCCAGAAAAAAAATTTGTAAATTAGCCGCATCATTGTTTAAGTTCAAAGCATGTGAAAAAAGTAGCCACTTATAGTGCGGAAATTACAGTAATTTTTAAGAACTACAATACGAATATCATTAATAGTTCTGGGCTATAAGGTTAGCTTGTTTCTCTATAACACACTACAGGGCACACCCTGGTGGTGGCAACAAGTCGATTCATATTCAGTTTGACAACATTGGATACCTCGGGTCCTGGTGGTGGCAACAAGTCAATTCGCATACAGTTTGACAACATTGGATACCTCGGGTCACAAATTTTTTTTTCGCTCTTTGACTCCCGAAAACGTTGACCCAAATCAATTTGTCCCATTGCGATTAATCTTAATCCAGTTAATCTGTTCTTTGGCTGTACTCCTTGGCGAGATTCAAAACGCGACACGCCACTTTCGTATTTAGCTATTATTTCCCTTTTTTTTTTTTGTCTCAACGGTAATACGATTTTTACGATTCTTAACAGCACTTTTACTCACAATGTTCACTTTTTCTAAAGCCATAATAAGGGATAACATTTAATGAAATGACAAAATAATTTGTTCGAAAATGGTGTTCGTAGTTCCATTTGTTCGTGAACAGGGACGTTCGTTACCCGAAGTATCACCGTATTACACAACTTTGCGGAATTTGTTGAATTTCGCATATAACCATGTGGTTAATTACAGCGCGCTTAACTGAAATATTTTTGCCAAGCACTAAGAATAATACATTTAAATGATGGACAAATGTTTGCCCTTGATTTAAAAGTTGCAAATTTTCTCTATGGGTTTAGTGTAGAAGAGTCGAGTAATATCTTATTTTCCATTAGTAAAATTCTATACTCTTTGTAAGAATGCAATGTTTATTTCATCTTGCGGGTTGCAGTTAGCTAACCTATCTAAAGGAAACTAATGTTTATAAATTCCTTCTCTCCCGAACACGTCAGCAAGTATGAGCAGCTTTATCAACCCCAGGATCGACCACAAAGTTAAAATGTTTTTGTTTTTTTTTTTGTTTTTTTGTGATTTCAGTGTTTAAAGACTTAAATCTACCTAAGTGACAGAAACTGACTAAAAACAGGAACCAGCAGGTCTACATTATCTAAAATCAGATTTTTTTTTTTTTTTCAAAACAGTATGAGTACTAGTCATACAGTACCTGGACCTCCTGTTCCCTGCCTTTTTGGCATTCCTATCCTCCTCGACCAGAGGACCGACCACCTTCTCCGTGGTGTCGATCAGAACACTGAAGGTGGGCTCAACGATGAAATCTATGAAACCTATGAACAGAGAGTTCAAAAACAGAAGTTCTCACTTCATGTTAGGTTGCATTAAAAGTACAGTGGTCTCGCTCCTACTGCGGGAGTTGCCTGGGAAGATGATCGGAGCGTTTAGGAGGCATCGTAAGGGCGTTGAATTAGGGTCAACGTTTACCAAAGACAAAAGCCCAAACTTTACAGCAACGTAAATATTTAACGAGGGGTTGACAAACAAGGGGAGATACGACAATGCATGAGCCAATCAGCTACGATGTTACGATGCATTAGCTAGCGTGAGGAACAGAGGAGCTTAATGCTGTGTTCGATCTCCTCTAGGCAAACAAAGCTACCAGCGATGTCATAGTTTAATTTTCGCTATTTTTACTGTTTTAATTTTTTTGATTAGAAAATATTTTTTTCACAAATATAATGAAAATAATTACCGTAAAATACCGCAATATAGCAATATTTAAATATAATCACCGTAAAAAACCGCAATATAGCGAAACTCGTGCGAGAGTAAAATACCAAAAAATCCAGGATGTACCGAGGGCGCGAAAGGAGAACCGATATAGAGAGGGAAATTATGATTAACATATTTGTATTTTAAAGTATTGAAACAATTCCATCCTGGTCGCTCTTACCAATCTGTGATTGGGCGATCATAGTTGCTTTGCGATCACAGAGGGGGGAGAAAGGAAGACCTAGGTCCACTTCTTTATCTCCCTGTGAAGAAACAAAAAGATTTATAAGAGTGAATTTTTACATACAGTACCTGTGTGAATGGTCTTGAGTTGCATGTGTCTACCTGTCGGAAAAACTCCTCCATCAGACTGTGGGTCCAGCGATAGTGTAGTGGCCAGGCTTTCGCTGGATGGCTGATGTCAGCAGCATGAAGCATCAAAGATAAGACCTTCACTTTGTCGATGCTGCAGACAGAGACGGAAGAAAAAAACAAAAAAAAAACACAATAATTCTGCTACAGCAGTAACAGAGACAAATTATTGCTTTAGCTAACTTGGACGTGGAAGTTGCCGGTTGTTACCGTTGCCTCCCGTGTTTGTGTTGCTGTGGTGAATCTGGAACAAAGTGCTTCAACACGGTAGCTGTTGTTACTTTGCTTAAATTCTACCCATCTAGAAATCTACTTGAGTAAAAGTAAATACTTTAATTAAAATGTACTTTGAGTAAAAGTTACTTAGTTACTTTATATTACTTGATGCAAAAATCTGATCCAAAAATGAAACTAGTCAACAAGAGGGTCCGAAATTGTACTGTTACCGTGCTTTTGGAATCAGTTACACCTACGATATGATATTCAAATCAACTATTATTACATTGTTCAGGAAAGTCCGGATCAAACAAGTAGCTCTTGAAGTATTACTTGAAGTGCCCTTGAAGTAGCTCTCCGTTTCAAAAACACTCAGAAACCAACCACAGATTTTTTTTTTTTTTTGTTCGGCACCAGCCATCATCCAAAGACAGGTTAGACCAGGTGTCACTAAAAATGAATGGGGTTCTAAAAATGAAACTAGAGTCAACAAGAGGGTCCGAAATTGTACTGTTACCGTGCTTTTGGAATCAGTTACACCTACGATATGATATTCAAATCCACTACTATTACATTGTTCAGGAAAGTCCGTATCAAACAAGTAGCTCTTGAAGTATTACTTGAAGTGCCCTTGAAGTAGCTCTCCGTTTCAAAAACACTCAGAAACCAACCACAGATTGTTTTTTTTTTTTAGGAATGAGTTCTTTTCCAATGTAGCAAGTAAAATACTTGAGTGAAAATGTACTTAGGTAAAATGACCTATTCCCGATATTTTAAAAAATTACAAATTATTTTTAAAAAAAACTACTCAATTACAGTAACAAATTTAAATTGTTTTTTTGGGGGGGAAGAATTGTTAGGTAAAATGACCTATTCCCGATATTTTAAAAAATTACAAATTATTTTTAAAAAAAACTACTCAATTACAGTAACAAATTTAAATTGTTTTTTTGGGGGGGAAGAATTGTTGCATTTTTCTTCTTATCTTCCCGCCAAATTTCGGAACCACCCCCCCCCCCTCTCCCCAGCACTGGTGCCCACCAATTTGGAACCCATTGGCTATGTACATAGGTAGTCAACAAGGATTTTCACAGGAAGATGCTTGATCCTCCTGATCCTCTGAAACCAACTCGCACCAATTAGGATCCTCCAGGATCCTCCTGATCCTCTGAAACCAACTCGTTCTTTTCCTTCTCCTCTTCTTTAGCGGAGGCAGGGGGCACATTGTTTGCGCCGAACAGTTGTCACACCTGTCAGTTTGGATGAGTTGCAGGAGGAAGATGCTGTCAACCCGGCTGCCCTTTTGCAGAAAACGCGCCGTGACCAAAATTCAAACGTGACCGAAGAGCTGAACGGAAGTGGAGCGTTTTATCAGAATCTCATGTACGAACACAGACCTCCTCAAGGATGTGTCCTTATTATGTATCTAAGTTAGATCATATTGTCATGCAGACTGTTCTATCATAAAGATCATAAAGGACTTGGTTTGTAAACCAGTCATTCCCCCATACAGGCCTGTCACTTCCTGTCACAATGAGGTCAATTTTTGCCAGCATATTTTTTTTTCCTGTCGCAATGTCGCAAAAAAAAAATGAATGTAATAATTCAGGCAGCAATGGATGAAAAAATGCTGTGTATGTGTGAGCTGGACTCAGTGATTTTCTCTATGGACCTTGGTTTGTGGCAGTAGCACTGACCCGTGTGTCTGGCTCAGAGCGTTCCTTATGGTTTTGATCTGCTGGAAGTGACAGGACATGTCTGTTGCCATCACCATCTCTATAACCAGCGACCTCAGCTCTCTGAAAAAAAAAAAAAAACATGAATCAGTCAGTTCATCTGCAATCAATAACTGCGGTATGTGCGAGTGGTGTACATGTACCTCCAGTCGTCCTTGTTCAGGTTTACCAGTATGTTCATGTCGTCTTCCGCCATTAGCTTGTAGGCGGCGCTAATATGATGATTTTCCAACACTGACCTGTCATTGTACAGGATGGCCACGTCCGACCTAAGATAGACACACACAAACATACGCACAGGTTCAAGAACAACCGATCGGACTCCAGAGAGTACGACCTGGTAGTGATGTTCGACACCACCAATTTCCTTTTCCGATCCGATAGCGAGTAAAATTCGGGCTGGTATCGCCGATACCGATATCGATAGCGATATTTTATCATTTGTCTTTTAAATAAAAAAAAAAAGTGTATTTCAAAGTTTTTTAAAGAGTTTTTATTTATTTATTTATTTATTTGAAATCTCTGGAGTGTACTGAGGTAAGCTGCCTCATTTACTATACAGTCAACATCATATAATCATATAAAATATGTCAAAACAATGTTTCAAACTCTAAAATGACATGTTATTTGTAAAACAAAAATAAAAAAAAAAAATTTAAAAATAATCTGAGGAGCCATTTGGGGCCCGAAAGAGTCGGATTTTTTTCAGTGAGCCAAACCAAAAGAACCGGTTCTCTACAAAAGAGCCGAAATTTCCCATCAATAGTGACTGAGTGAGAGCACGGAGTGGGCGGAAGAAGAAGTAGTCCCACCAACCGAGCGTCACTGATCCTTTTCACAATGTTTCTGTTTAGGACACACCTCATCTCAGAACGCGTAAGTATCAAAAGTATCGATATTTTGAATTTCAGAATTCGATTTCAGAGCATAAAGATCCAGAATCGGAAGTATCGATATTTCAGGATCGATCCGCACATCACTAGTACCTGGTGTGGATGTGGAAGTTGTTGGTGGTTCCTGTGTGTTCAAAGTCATGGATCGCTGCGGCGAACACCATGGCCAGGATCTCAAGTTCACTCAGCCAGTGCTGCCCATGCACACGCGCACAAACAATAGCAAAGAAATCAAATCAAAATATAGGTTAAAGATATAGATTCATATACAGTATTTGTGTGTTTTATGTGCATGTGAGCCATTAAGTACCATTAGTCCCGTGTGGAGCATGAGGAAGTGGGCCGTCTGTGTGACGTCGGCGGCGTGGATCAGGTTGTGGTACGGGTTTCTGTGTTTGCTGTAGCCACTTTCCAGAGCTTCGACAAATTGGACCAGAGCCTGCACAGGGATCTGAGAAACAGAACCAGAAATGGAACAAGGAATCTACTGCAGCAGGTCAAATAAAAGAGTCGAGGTGTTTACCCTAAACCTGTTGACCAGATCATAGCGGGTCAATAGGTCATAGACCAGGAACTTTAGTGCGTGTTCTCCGCTCGCCTCGTGGAAGCAGAACACATCGAAAGACCACTGGTCCACTTCCTGCAAAAGAACCGTTCAGAGAGGAGCGTTACAGAGATTCAGGGTGATGTGGAAGTTCTGCCAGTAGAGGGTGGTGTGGAGACAAAACTAAGGGGCAGAAGAAAGTCTGCTAAAACTGGTAAAAAAAAAAAATCATTTTCTTCAGATCAGTAATCAGATTTATGATTAATCAAATTTGTTGATTTCATCATTTAATTTTTTTTCTCTTCCCTTTTTCTGATTTGACTTTTTTTTTTGCCTGTTTATGCAACTTCTTCCGAATGATTATTTCTAATTTTTCTTTTTTATATTTTTATTTACACTGATCCCTTTCCCCGCATTTCCTAATATATTTTCTTAAATAATTTTTAACAATCACCATACTGATTATCATATCTCGTTTTATTATCATATCTCTCTGTATGCTGACGATGTGTTATTGTATATCAGCTACACTATGGAACCACCGTTTTTCCAATTAGGACGAAGAGACATTTGAACATTTTTTTTTATTTTTTTAAATCAAATTTCTCATCTTGATGAAACTAAATTTGACATTTAACAAAAAAAACAACAAAAAACCAAAAATGAGCATTGTGCAAAAATAACTAATAGTTACTCGTTGGAATCCCCCTCACATTTCATTTCATATTTGAAACATTGTTTATTTGGATTTGTCAAGAGGTGGAGTTATTTAGGACTTCTTTTACGTCGACTAATCTGATAAACAAGTGCTTTAACGACATTGTTACATTGGCAGATGAGGAACCGCAGACGGACACACGCAACAATGAGCACGTAACATTTCCATAAATTACTTTTGTAGCTTTCGCTAATGGAGATAGCACCGTCAGTTTTTTGTTTTTTTTTCCCCACTTGGCTTTGTGACAGATTCATCCACCAGGGGCAATATAATAAGTATAATAGAAGTATCCAGAGGAGTTGGGTGGGTTATATTTGGGGGTCGTTATTTGACTCTGACTTTATTATATTATATTGTATACCTGCAATGTTTTCTGTATTTGTATGTTTGTTTGATATTTCAAATTATTTTTTCCCATTTTCTAATTTCTAATTTCCAAAGCGCTGTTACCTCACGCTGGTTCGGCGAAAGCATTTAAACTTAGCTTTACTTCGTTTTCCCTTCAGCCCCATCAGGGCCGTGGGAGGAAAGGTCAGCCCAGCCATGTTGGACGTCCGTCTGTACATCCTGTGCACACACACACACACACATATTTATGTAAGTATGGAGAGATCTCACACATGCATACATATACATATATATATACACATATACACTGTTCTCACACACTCACTCACTCCAGCTGCCGTCCTCTGCTTTATCACCACAGATGGACTGTTTGTCTCTATGGTAACAAGCACACGCACACTCACGGAGAAAAAAATAAAGTTGTGTAAGATCATGTGCTGTTTTAATCAGAATTTAGAAAAAAAAAAAAAGTTTTTTACCAGTAATCGATTACTAGACATTTCAGGCGATCATATTTTAACTAATGCTGCAAAAGACGTTTCTGTTTCTCTTTCATAATTTTCTTTTTCATTTTGATTTACCATTTCTGCTCACACAGCAGAATTCTCAGGTCTTTTTCAGGAACATTTCTCTTTTTGTTTGTATTCCGTGCTCACTCTGGATATTTTTCCCACGGTGTCACTCATCTGTCACTTTTGTTTTTCTAAAGTTTACATTTTACATGAGCGGAACTGCTTAACATTATATAACACAGACACTCACAGCCACCTACAAGATGGTGAGGTCACAATCAGTTTCAACACATCTACTCGTCTTCCACATTCGTCTTACTCAACAAGGAACTTCTGCGTCTGCATGTGTCTTGTGCCCACAAGCACATGTGACCAACATGGACAAACAAAGAAGAAGCACACTGTCAAAAACAAAACCGGTTTGAACACTGAACCCGAAACTAGAGTGGATGGTTTACGGAGACATGTGACAAGGTTGTTTTATTGTTCAGTCGGACAACTCCTGGACAATTCACTCCACAAGATACAGTATCTAGGAAAGTTCTCAGTCGTCCAGGTCATGGTCAAGGTTGAAAAGTTCTGTTCGGCGACTGGACGTGAATTTTCGAAAAAGGAGACGTTTCACCTGTCATCCAAGAGGCTTCTTCAGTTCTGAAGAAGTTCTTCAGAAATGAAGTTCAGTTCTTAGAAAATTCACACCCAGTTGCCTAACAGAACTTTTCAACCTATACCGACGATACAAGATGAACAGCCAAAAAAACAGGAAAATGTAGCGCAATTGGCAAAAAAAAAAAAGCAAAATGTTTCCAAAATTATTTAGGGATGTCCGATAGTAACTTTTTGCCTATTTTTCCAAACGCTTCATTTTTATTTTACATCTGGTCATATTTTGTTGTGCCATATCTGCTTACTTTATTTTAAATGTGAAAGAATTGAGATAATAGATCAATAAATACATTGCATTGCAAAAAATGTGTGCTTTCAGGTTAAGGTTATGTCTTTGGTACTGTAGAGTTTTGTTTGTTTTGTAGAGGTAAAAGTACATGTTACTTGGTTAAAAAAAAAAAAAA